TTGCAAGGGAACAGGCTACAGCATTTACTACTCGGGTATTATACAATGCTAAACCTGGGACTCCTACCAAGGTGTACGCTAGGGCAGAGTATTCGGCTTTAGATAAGAGAGTGATTTCTGGGTTACAATCTGCATTAAGGGTGTTTTTAACATCTCTCCTGTCTCTCAGCAGTTTGTGTAGCTGGGTGGTTTTAGTGATCAGGTCAGATTTGGAAAACATGGTCATGGTTAGGCGAGAGATTGCACAGGGACCTCCTGTAATGTTACCTGGGACATAAGCATAAGTAATATTTCCACAGGAGAAAGTCCATCCTTTAGGAAGATAGACATTGTAGTGGTAACTCATAACTTGGTGAGTTTTGGTACAATTCATAGTGGTGCTTAGGGCTCTACAATTCGTGGTATTTTTCCACCATGTGGGGCAAAACAGGGATTCAGTATTAGGGTCTCTTGAACAATTACATGAAAAAGACCAACACAGTTCAGCGTCTGTCACATTAATTGTCTTCAGGGCTAGAGGAGGCTTGCCTACGAGTGGGTTGAAGGCATAAGAATATAGTTGTAGAGATTTATGGGGTCTTTGGGTATGTAGGTACTTTCTTAACAGTGAGATGGGGGTAGGGACAGCTATAAGACAAGATTCTATGGCGTTTTCAGTACTGAGGAGAGGGTTGAGGCAAAAGGAAGTTAAATTAAAAGCCTTTGCTATCTGCAACCATATATTTTCCTGCCATGCATTATTATTTTCTGGTCTCAAGTCAGAGTAGCATATCTGAACACAGTATAAAATGGTAAAGGATAAGAACAGCTTCATGTTGGTGGGTCAGTCGGAGTGACTTGTTTACAGTGACTGGCGTGTATCCACGTGGCTTTTCCTTCTAGTTTCACTGAGGTAGCCGTAGTCAAGAGCACTTGGAATGGACCGTCAAAGCGTGGTTCAAGTCCTTTCCTCACATGCCTCTTTATCACCACCCAATCACCAGGTTGCAGTTTGTGAGTTGCAGAATCAGAGTCTGGATCTGGAATAGAATCAAAGACTTGTTTATGCACCCTGCCTAATCTTTGGTGTAGGGCCTGAACATAGGCAGTCATACTACCATGCTGCATCTGTAGTGTTTGGGGAAAATAGAGGCCTGTCTTTGGGGCACATCCAAACAGGATCTCAAAAGGGGATAAGCCATGTCTGGAATTGGGGGTGAATCTCATAGAAAAGAGTGCTAGGGGAAGGCATTCAGTCCAGGGCTTTCCTGTGTCTTGCATGGCTTTTGCAATCTTGTTCTTTAAGGTGCCATTTGCCCTTTCTACTTTCCCACTACTCTGGGGGTGATAGGGGGTGTGGAAGGCCTGACTGATCCCTAGGGCTTTCATAATTTCTTGCATTATTTCTCCAGTGAAATGGCTACCTCTGTCACTTTCAATCACTTCAGGTACTCCATATCTACATACCAGTTCCTTCAGAAGCTTACTTGCTGTGACCTTCGTTGTGGCTTTCGACACTGGGTAGGCCTCAGGCCAACCTGAAAAGAGATCAATGCACACCAACACATATTCATACACTCCTACCTTAGGTAGTTGAATATAGTCTATCTGCAGTCTTTGAAACGGGTAAAGTGGCCTTGGTGTGTGCTTACTTGGTGTTTTCACAGCTTGTCCTGGATTGTTTCTAGCACAAATCATGCAAGCTTGGGTGTGTTTAGCTGCTACAACAGTAAATCCGGGTGCTACCCAATGGGTGTTTACTATGCTGTTCATGTGCATCTTGGATAGATGTGTAGGTCCATGGGCAATCTGGGCCATCATGGGGTACAACACTCGTGGTAAACACAGTCTTTTACCTTTCCTCCACATTCTGTCATCATCAGGTTCTGCATCTTGTTTCCTCCAGAGGTCATGTTCTTCCTTGCTTGCCTGTCTTTGTAAGCTCAACAGTATATTGTAGTCAACGGCGTCATCTGTAAGAACAACTTGTAGAAAGGTATTACCTGTAGAGGGATGAACTTTGATTGCTGCTTGCTTGGCAGCTTCGTCTGCTTTGTGGTTTCCTCTTGAGATTTCATCTGTGATCTTCACGTGAGCTGCCACCTTGATGATGCCTACTTGAGTGGGTAGCAGGATAGCGTCCATAAGTGCACTCACGGCTTCAGAATTCTTGATTGGAGTTCCTGCTGAGGTGAGAAAATCACGAGCCCGCCATATAGGGCCAAAATCATGGGCTATACCAAAAGCATAGCGAGAGTCTGTATAAATATTAGCAGTCTTACCAGAAGCCATTTTACACACTTCAGCGAGTGCCTTCAGCTCTGCCTCCTGTGCAGAGCAGTGAGGAGCGAGTGGTTCAGCTTTTATTACCTCATGTGCAGAGACTACAGCATATCCAGTGTGGAAATTACCCTTCTCATCAGCATATCTGGAACCATCTACAAAAAACTCAAAATCTGCATTAGATAATGGAGAATCAAATACATGCAAAAAACCTGCTGTCTCTTGTGCCATTAGTGCTGCACAATCATGGGGTACCTGGGCATCAGCTAACTCATCTGGTGAAAGTGAATTTACAAAAAGATCAGAAGTACAACCATTCACACTATCCCCACTCCCCTCTTTTAAATCCAGGGGAAGCAATGTAGATGGATTTAACACCATACACCTTTTAAGAGTAACATTAGGTGGCATAAGCAAGGCACATTGCATTCTGAGATGCCTTGCAGTATGTATGTGTTTTGGTTGAACTTGTGAGAGTATGCTGTTGATATCATGCGGTGTGTATATGGTCACTGGATTATCTAAAACAATATCAGTGGCTTTGTCCAGGAGGGCAGTAACAGCCGCCACTGCCCTAACACATGAGGGGGCACCCCTGGCAACAGGGTCCAATCTGGTGGAGTAGTATGCTATTGGTCTTTGTTTACCACCATGATCCTGTGTAAGGACAGATGTAGCATAACCTGATTGCTCAGTACAGAACAGGTTAAAATTCTTTCTGTAATCTGGGAGACCCAGTGCCGGAGCTGACGTTACCAGTATCTTAAGTGTATAGAAGGCATTTTCTGCCGCATGGGTTAATTTAAATGGTTTGTTTTCGTTGGCAAGACAATCATACAGTGGTTGCATGTAGATAGCTACGGAACGCAGCCAAGGGCGGCAGTAAGAAATCAAACCGAGGAAAGTACGAACCTGGGCTAAACTGCGGGGGGGTCTAATATTTTGAACTGCAGTTTTTCTACTTTCCGTGAGATGTTTTATGCCCTGGGAAATGCAATGTCCTAGGAAAATAACTTTCTTTATACATGCTTGCAGTTACGTTTTTGTTGCTTTACAGCCTGCTTTTTCTAGGAATTTTAGTAAGGAAAGAGTGTTTACAATACAAGATTCCATACTATCGCAACATAGGAGTAGGTCATCGATATACTGCAATAAAATTACGTTATTTGGCCTTTGCCATTCTTCAAGAATCTGGGCCATAGCCATGCTGTACATAGTGGGTGAGTTATGTGCGCCCTGTGGCAATACTGTCCAAGTGTACTGCTTATGTGTAAATGCAAATAAAAACTGACTTCGGGAGCCAGGAGGACACTGAAAAATGCATTTGCCAAGTCAATAACAGTAAATACCTTAGAGGAAGGTGGTATTTGTGCCAACAAGGTGTGTGGGTTGGGAACATTAGGGGCAATGAGTTCAGTTACAGCATTAATTGCCCTCAAATCATGTACCATACGGTAGACCACAGGTTTCCCTTTCTCTTGCTTTCTCTTAATTGGGTACAATGGTGTGTTACAAGGGGAGGTGGTCTGGACAATTACCCCTGCCTGCAGAAACTCTTGCACAGATTGCGAAATAGCATATTCCTGTGCTGGGCTTAGGGGGTATTGTTTTTGATAGGGAGGGGTGGCTCCGGGCAGGAGATTCACTTTGACTGGGGGCATAGAGAGTCTGCCTGTATCTGTCTTCCCTGTAGCCCATAAGGAATCAGGGACTGAGGACAAGTCAATGGTGGCACATGGCTGGGCATAGTGAGAGTTGCCAGAACATTTGAAAGGGATATCATTTGTTTGTCCTCTAAAGGCACAGACAATGTTACTTTTCCAGTGGGGCTATACTGGATATTTGCACTAAGAGCAGACAGTATATCACTGCCTAGTAGATTAGCAGGGGCATGAGGGCTGACAAGTAGCCTTGTTACAAGGGCAGTAGAGTCGTGTAGCTTCAATTTCAGCTTGTGGGTAAGGGGAATGTCATTTTCGATACCATCTACCCCTACACATGATAATACATCATTAGATTTCTCATACGGGAATACATATTTTTCCTGTAACATTGATTTAGCAGCGCCAGTGTCCAACAGGAAAGGGACTATTCGGTCCCCAGGCAGTGTAACATTGATAATGGGTGAGGGTCCTGCAGAGTCAGGGATATTGATGATATGTAGGGACACTGGTTTGCCAATTTCCTATTGGGGGGGAGGAGGTGGTGGTGGTTGGCTGTCATGGGAGTTATCATTAGAATCTTGGGGTTTTCTATTTTTAGGAGGACACTTGCAGTTACGTTTAATGTGTCCTTTCCTGCCACAATTCCAGCAGTCTACCTGCCTTCTGTCCCCATCAGCTCTAGGGACAGTTACAGCCATTAGAGGTGTGCTCCTCTTTCTAGTATTTAGATTAGCTTCCACTCCCCTAGCCACCTTCACCAGATCACCATAGGTTAAACTTCTCCACTCAGGTCTAGCATTTTGGAGACCAGTCCTTATGGGTATGTGGATACCATCCATGAAGCAGTTAATAAGCAGTCTGGTCGAAGTGGTTACAACATCAGTGTAACCCAATGCCTCCCAAGCCATTTGTAGTCTGGTGAAGAATGTTTCTACAGTTCATCTTTCCCTTGTAGTATGTCTCCTAATTTATGGGCTAGTTCTTCTGTCTTTACCTTAGCCCATTCTCTCATTGCAGTGACATAGCATGCTCCAGGATGCAGACTTGGTTCTAAACCATTCATCTGTTTGCATGTTGCTTTTTCTGAGGTTATCTTCATGGGCATCTGTATATTTAGCAATTATTCTAGCCCAAATGGGACCAGCTTTTAGTGCCACAATCTGTTTTAAATCCATCCAAGTACACTGGTAAGTAGCTTGAATTGTGGATAGAGACTGGACTAGAGCTAAGGGGGCCTTTTCAACATCTTGCAGCTGCTGTATTATTGCCAGTTGTTCACTGGGTGTCCAGGGCTTATATTCTTCCCAGTATTGGATACCTGAGCTCGGCTGACTGTGCTCATGGTATACACTCTCAACTTTGGGTATCATGGGAGTAGAAAATTGTGGAGCTAATGGCCCCACTGGGGTATCTGTGGGGGCAACTAGGGGTTCCTTTAAGTCTGGACTACCTTCCTGCTCTAATGAACCCATAGGTCTTACTGGGACACCATATGAAGTCCCACTGCGTAATATTACTGGAAAGAGAGGTTTTGATCTCGTAAAAGGGAAATCGCCTTGTCTTTTGGGACCAAAGGAGTCCCTGCAGTATCCTGGTAAAAGGGTGGGTTTCAAGATTTTTCCCAGGGACTCTTGTCCCTACCCTTTCCTGGTGGTTTCAAACAACCACATTTAGTTAATTCAACAGCAGTATCATGCCATTTTTGTGCGAGTCATTATCTTCTAACCAACCTCTGTAATTTCCATAAATTCTTCCATATATGTGGATCTAGATGAGGGCATGCCAGCTTTCTTAAGTAACCTCTTAACATTCTTAATTGCTCCTTGTCCTTTGTGATGCTTGACAATAGTCAAAGCCGTAAATCCCCCTTGGGTACTTTCAGAGCTACCCATCTTAAAACTTGTAAGGGTTAATTACTTCCTTACACAAGACAAACTGTACAAAAACAGTGTATTTAAACACTTAGGACCGCTGCAGTGGAATTTTCACAGTTTTTGTCTTCTAAACACAGATCAGGAGATCTGCCCTTGGAGGATTCTAACTCAAATTATAAAACAAATGACAAGGCAAACAATAAAAATAACTTACAACCCACAGTTATATTCCACTATCTCAAGATTCCTTTCACAAGACATAACACAACCTCCAACTGAATATAACCATAATACCACAGAAAACAAGTTCTTTAGATCAGACGTTTTTAAGTCGTTCTTTACCCAGACAGACTAGTAGGACGTGGATCTGAGAGCGAAATTGATAAAGGTAGAAAAAAGTTTTTCTTACCTTCCTGTACAGCTGATTTCACTGTCAGAGGGACGTCCACCTGTACGCTAGTGTCCGAGTCTCTCGACCGTCAGATCCCGGGGTCGGCACCAAATTGTTGTGGATCAGAAATGTTGATCTTTGTTATATTCAGAGGAAGCCCAAATTGTTGTTACAAGTGCACTTGGAGAAGCGAGAATTAGACACCAGACACCTGTTGGTATTCAAAATAAGCCTCTGACGTTTTATTCATCAGCTGGGTTTTATACATTAAAAAGTAAGTGCTTACGTGCAAATACTCTTAGAACAGTAATAGGAAGAGAATACAGATAAGACATAGGGATGAGCGTCATGTACCCATAACAAATAAGTTTCAAGGTATGAGAGAACAAAATGATTAGAGCAGAGACATCTTAGGTGGGGGCTCTCTGCTCCCGGAACTTAGACATATATGGTCTTAAGTGTTGTTTAAGCATCAAGCATTTCCTGAGTCCAAGTTAGCCAATTTTAATATAGGATATCATTATATGACACCTATAAGCTTGAGCCTTGGAATCAAGATAAATTCTATCACATAATCATGCCCTTGTAAAATTAGGTTCTGTTCAAAACTATGTCCTGCTTAAAATTATGCTCTGTTTAAAACAATGTCTTGCCTAAACTATGCTAGTTCAAATATTTATATATCATTATTATTACTGTTATATATATGTGAATTGAAATGATCTTGATTTAATGTAATATGTTGGATTCATATATTATCACTACATGCATATAAGCACATATATATATATATATATATATATATATATATCTTCTTTTTCTTTTCTCTAAATTTTATTCATTTTTATATATATTCATTTTATATACATTCACATTATATGTTCCATTTGAACCTTCTCTATATGTGCATCTAACATATAATAGCATCGGAACACACTGGTTTCGTTTTTTATAAGTCCCAGTGTTGTCAGTGTTGCTTAGATCAATAAAGTTTTTTGACTGCGTTCCACGGTGGAACGTACATGCGCGTCGGACGCCGGCGAATGGTATGTCATCACGCCGGCGCCCGCGCGCATGCGCAATTGCACAGAAAGGACGCCGCCCGGCATATTTAAATGCCGGTTAGAGAAGACTATGGATCGCTCCTGAGGAAGTCTGATTAAGAACAGACGAAACGCGTTGAGCAAACCTGGGGAATTGGATCAACTGATGGTGAACTGTTCTATCTGTCTTTGCTACAGCTTCTATACAGATGTCCACAGACTGCTAAGACCGGGAGATTTAGCCTATTATAGGCATCAGCACTTTAGCACATATTGATTTTGTCAATTGTGCCACACTGTTTGTGAGTGTTTTTATCTATATGTTTTTTATCACTTTGGATTAAAAGTTTGCACTATGATGTTTTCTCTTTTTATATCTTTTATGTGAATATCCTCATTTGCTCGCTGGAGGGTAACTATATCCAGTATTTATATTTGGTGATAAGTGGCGCCCTATTTCTGTATAGTATATACAGTCTTGTTTTTTGAAAATTATATTCTCGCCCCGAGAATGAATGCCCTTTTTCACGATTGTCAAATCTACCACTCAATCTTATTTCTTAACACTGACCCTTTGATTAAGGTTTTGTCACTTGAGTGTGGCAGGTAATTCCCACACCAGTGTGTCAAAACCTTAGTGAAAAAAGTCTGAGGTCAGTGTTAAGAAATGATATTGAGTGTTAGATTTGACACATCCCAACCCAAAGACTAAATCCCAAAATTACTTGTAGTACCTAAACAGCAGTCCATCTAGACTTGGATTCTTATGTGTGGTACTGTTCCACAGCTATCTTCAAATCATCTTAAGTGATTTCACCTTCAAGGCCAGGCAATAGTTCCTGAGTCAATTTCCTCTAGGCATATTTAGCCAAAAATGTCTGTATTTTCTCCCTCCTAGAATGAGAGGTAGCATCTTTTGAATCTCTGTCTAGATTGTATAAGGAAGAGCAAAACTCATGAAATTCCAATTATATTTCTTCAGGTCTCTGTGCATCACCTTCCATTTTCTTCAACAGTCTATGTATGTGACTCAACCACCATTTCTTCTGAAGCATTTCTGCAAGTAGCCGTCCATATTTGTTTGAATGTTCATAAATAAAATGGTTAGGTTTCCAGATGACCAGCATATATTTCTGAGCCAGACAATCGTCCAGGAGCCTGTGTGCATTCAAATGGGATCTATAATCTTCAACAGACAAGGAGGTCTTATGGATCATTTCTAGAGAGGAAACTTGAGCTAGTAGTTTGGTAAAGTGAGGGTGTGAGGGATAGCTGATGAGTCCTCTAGAAGTATACAAAATGGGTTCCAAGGGCATATTAAGGTTATCTCCAACTACCAGCAGACCCTCCCTTAATCTTTCCAGCTTAGAGAGAACTGGTCCCAAGGACATGTCCTGGTCCAAGTTGGGGGAATAAATGCAAGAAAAAGTATAGGTTTGTTAAGCCATATTACTCTTAATAAATAGAAACTTGTTCGTCAGCTAGGGAGGCGGTGAGTATAAGCAAGGTATATTTACAAATTAAGAATTGCTACTCTTCCTGTTTTTGCAAAGGCATTGTGTGCAAAATAGCCTATTTTGTTTGTTGACTAACTTAGGGCTACATCAGCTCGGAAATTGTTTTCCTGCAGAATCACCATCGAAACATCCAAACATCTCAGCTCCCTTGGTACACGGAAGCTGCAATCTACAGTGTTCAGACTCCTAATGTTATGGAAGAAGAACACTAAGGAGGTGGGTTTATACTTCCTCCTAGTTGGTACAGTCATCACGGCTTACATGTATAGTGGGGGAAATCGGATAGGAAGAAGGAGTGGGAGAGAGGAAAAGAGAAAAAAAATCTAGTAAAAGGGCGGGAAAAAATTATATGTGTGTATAGATGTTGGGCAGACTTGATGGGCCAAATGGTTCTTATCTGCCATCACATTCTATGTTTCTATGTAAAAAAATAAATAAATAAACAATGCTCGGCCTTACCACCTACCAGATCCACCATACTTACAGGGACACATATAATTTTGTCATATTTATGAAAACGCATGTATATATAATGCATATTCTCAGGGCCAGCGCCACCTAAAGGCGAAGTAGGCACCGGCCTAGGGAGCACATTCAGAAGGAGCGCCACGGCAGTCCGACTGCGCTTGTGTGCGTGGTGTTGGTACATGTGCTGCGGCAATGGCAAGCAGCACATGGCAATAAGAAGAGGGGAGTGCTCTGAAAAGAACATTTAAGTGAGCGCCATGAATCTAATTGCAGCACCCAGTTTGTGTGTCGGGCGGCTGCATATGAAATCTTGTGGTCACAGCCGGGCCCATGTCACTCTGTCTCCCTAGCGGGTCACAGCCAGGCTCCTGCCTCTGTGTTCCCCAGCTGCCCGTGTTAGATATGGCCTCTGTATCTGTGTTCCCCCGTGTCCATCTAACAGGGAGCCACATGGGTAGGAGGCAGCATCAGCACACAGTGAGCAGAGGTGCTGAAGATGCCTTGTGGCTCTGTCTTCAACTCCCATCAACTTGGGCCAGCCAGCTCCACCATTATGCAACAAAATTAAGTAAACATGTAAATTGTGATGTGTATATGTACCTGTGTCTGTGTGTAGTTTGAGCATACCTGTGTGTCAGTGTGTGTACCTGTTTATCTGTTTATGTTGACCTGTGTTTCAGAGTGTATGTGTACCTGTGTGTCTGTGTTTGTACCAGTGTGTATGTTTACCTGTGTTTCTGTGTATGTATATTTGAGTGTATGTCTACATGTGTGTCTAAGTATGTAAATCTGAGTGTATGTGTACTGTGTGTGTATATCTGAGTGTATGTGTACCTGTGTGTCTGTGTATGTATATGTGAGTGTATGTGTACCTGTTTTTCAGCGTGTATGTGTTCCTGTATGTCTATGCTCCTGTATGTGTACCTGTGTGTCAGAGTCTATGTGTGTATGTGTACTTGTGTTAGTGTGTATGTGTACCTGTGTGTCTTTGCTCCTGT